GAATGAGCATAAGTAGAATTAAATCAATATGGCGATTTCAAGTGTAATTTACTTACCTATGAATGAATGAGTTTGAGTTACATTTGAAGACAATAAATAACAAAGAATTTTTCTGCCTTCTGCATATCTATAAACGATCGCCAGATCTCTGAGTACAATGATACTGTTGCTAGCTGACCCCAATACGAATTTGTTCTACACGATGCTGTCAAATCAAAATAAGCAATCGCCATATCCGCACCGCCATCATCACTCACACCGCATACAAACGCGGAGATTCGGGTGACCATGATTTTAGAGTTTGTAGGGTATATTATCTCTTTACCATAACGGGGAGAAGCGGTGGATAACCACCGCGTGAGATTACTACTCACTAAAGTCCACCCAGTATTCCACATAGGATGGGACCACATGCTTTACGTGTCGATGGTTGTCGATAGCTGACCCACCTCCAGGGGATTACTTCATCCCCTCTGCATCCTTAGCGGCTTGCCAGAAATACTTGACACGCCAACCAAAAGTGACACCGTAGTCTATTGAGTGTATTCAGACATCAGTTAACAAGTGAGAACAAGTGTTTCTAAGTGTTCGATCTTTATATTAATAATTATAACAAACTAGTGGAGTAATTGCACAAAAAATAATTGATTATCAATTTAATTCAAATTTAATTACAGGTAATAGTGACATCTCTAGCCAGGGCTAGCATCTGTAAAGTTACCTAACTGGGTGATGGAATATTTTCATAGATTAGTTATAGATGGTGCTACGGCTCAAACGTCGTTGAAAACCAGTACAAAGATCTGACAAAAAGCAAAAAGAAAAATTCGTGAGGTCCGCTGGTTCGTTCCGTGGCTTAGTTGGCATAGCGTTTAGCACAGTTTGCTAGAAGACGTCGGTTCGAATCCGGCCGGATTGAAGAAATTATTTCTAATTGTTCGACCTTAGTATTATAACAAACTAGTGGAGAAATTAAAAAAAAATTGAATATTAATCCAATACAAATTTAAGTGAGAACAAATTTTAAAAAGAGTTTTTCATTTCATTTCATTCTTTGAATATGGAATATGTTTTAAGTATTCAAATATTTTTGTGGCGTTGTGAGAATGTTATCTCCTATGCATTTAATATTTATCATAAAATTTTAACGAGGCTCTCAACAAAACGGTGAATTGTTCGGTTGACCTCGTCAATGGACGTTTGGAACTGTTACTTATTTACATAGACTGCTAATTATTTATACCAACTAAAAGTACACTTGTGGCAATATTATTGTTATTTCGTATTTAGTAGCAGTAGGATCGTTGTGCAAGAGTTCATCCGTGGAAGTGTTGCCATCGTACTTATTATTACGTGAAAGTTCCGCCAAGCATTAATGTGAGCATTAATTACAGGCTCTTGGGACTTGTCAACTTATGTCGCAGAAAGACGGGCGCGGTGTTAGTGTCCCGTAGATCTTTACGATTTAAAACTCTGAGTGGCTGTAACTGCTCTGGACAGGTGTGAGTGTGACGCTTACCATGAGCCTCACCGTCACTTGGTATAATAAAAAAATAGAAAAATGCAATATACTTATTTATAATACGCGTCTTTGGGAATAGTCCTAAATATTTAACAATTAGATGGTGACCCTAACGCCAGTGTCGCGTTGCAAGTAGATAATGGCACCGGATAGTGGCATTATCTCTAGAATATCACTCGATGCCCATCGACCATTGTCCACACATTGACGACATGCACCACTACTATTGGTTACTCACATTTAACTCAAAAACTATTCCAGAATGTTGAGCGAGTTAGGCCATGCGCTCATTGGCAATGCGCAGATGGTATGACAAGGGGATCCTTCAGCATTTCTACATGTATGCGCACACTGACGGCAATTATGCCGTCATCCTTACCGCCGTTATCCTTAGGCATGCCCAAGCATACCGTCTCAACAACGCATTGCGCTCGTTCTGATTCAATAAGTGTCTTAAACAGCTAAAAACAAATCGAAACAGAAAACTTTGATATTATCTAGCGAAATTATGTCGATTATAGTCCATCAGGAGTCTTGTTTTGTCTGAACGCGTTATAGCTGTAATGATTTTTAGTAGAAAAAAACCCCGTAATGTATCGAAAAATGAATGTTACTTGGTACTATGGCGGCTTAGATCCACACGACGTGTAACGCGTAGCTGTGTTTCCATCCACCATTTTTTTAAATTATAAATAATAAAAAGAATACCAAAGCGGTTAAGGACACTGTGAGTCCTTAGGACGTTAGACGGATAAATAGAATATTATCACAAATTTAAATAGAGAAACACATTTCCGAAAGTTGTCATATGACCTTAAAAAAGGCTTGGAAAAAGACCCTCAAAATAAACAAACGTGTACGAAAACAATGATGCGAATGGCGATAGAATTGTGCAAAAATCGTTGCGGGTGGAGGTCTTTAAACTCCACCTACCATAAGGGGCAGTCGCAACACGTGGTTTATTTATATAAAAAAACAATTTAACAAGTTTCCATCTGTTTACACAGAACTAATGTCATTTTGCAAATAACAATCCATTTTTGAGCCCTGTTATATGCTGCACAAACTTTTGTTTCTTTTCGACCGACTTCAAAAAGGAGGTTCTCAAATTCGACTATATTGTCGTGTGAATGTTACGTGACCATTCCGACATTTATGAAATAATATACGAATTCGGTTTATTGAATTTTACTCAGTTTCCGTAAACAATTTCCATCATACTTAATAAATAGATTTAGCCAAACAGCGAAAGCGGGTTGCTCACCCGCAACTCTTAGGGTCGTATTCTAGAACTTTACTCAATGCTCAAGTTAGGATCTGAGTACGATTTCAAGCACTGGAAATACGACCCTAATGGCAGGGACTTGAGTATGATTTCGAGTGCTTTAAACCATACTCAAATCCCGACTTGAGCATTGAGCAGAGTTCTGGAATACGACCTTTAAAGTCTATTTTTTTTTTATAAACAAAGTTATAATTATTATATAGCATCATTAACTTCGAGTAATAAGTGCTATGGCTACTAAAATTTTATTTTGTGGTGACAAAAAACTATTAAATGGTTTTTGACCTCGAATAAAATCCGCCAAAACTTCCTACAGGCACTTTAGTAGGGGCCAAGGGTCAAACAAAGTTTCAAAATAATATCTTTGTAGTACTTCAATATGTATTTCCTTGACACCGTTCTCATAAAATGGCCATCCAGTTTATTTATCCAATTCATGGTAGTTAAATAACTGAATATAATGAGACTGAGTCAAATAAGTTTTTGTCATTGGAGAACTGTGTAGAAATTATAAATTTTTTTAGCAATTTCAATTAATCAAGAGTTATTTATATGTGGTCGAAATAATGAGTCCCAATTTACTAAAAGCTAAGCTTCGGACCTACTCGGGTTTTGCGGAAGTTGACGATTGTACTGTAAAACTATTTCATTCTGTATGTCACATCAGTTCCCTGCAATTTAAAGTTTACCTTATGCACATAATCATAAGGTTAATATTACTTAATGAAGGTTACACAGTGGCGTTCTATTTTTTGAATTATTGTGTGTGCTAGAAAATTATTACGTCAAAAATCGTCAAATGTCGCCGAAATTTAGAATTTAGCGCAAATCGTTTATGAACTGCGTTGCGTGATTGAAATTTATTTCTAGTGTTTAGTAAAAACTGTTTCAGAAACAAAATTTAGGTACTAGAAATAATACTAAACAAGGTTAAATGTTTATAATACTTAGGACCTATAGCGTATAATTTGAAATAATTGAACTCCATACTGAAATACGGCTTTCAGTTTATAGGGAACGACAACACTGTCACATTACTAGTATCGTAAAAAGTATAGAATGTAACAATTACGAATGATATTCAAAAAAACTCCAGTGGTGGCAGAGTAACTAATTATGTCACTTTTTTACGAATCTGTATTATTAACATCTCCTAATGTCAGTTTTATAATGGTTTGAAACAATTAACAAAATGAAGTCGTTATTAAAATTTATGAGTTTATTTTAGTAGAATAATTAATTGCGTAGGTTAATTATGTCACTCTGTTACTGTAATTGGGATTGAAATGGGTTATTCGGATTGAAATCATTGTGTTGCCCTTCTTGCCTTCTTCAACTTTTAAGATTGGCCCCTAGTTTATTTTTCTTTGAAAAATGTCAATCACGTTTATTTTGCATAACAGTCACATTGAAACTAAGTAAAATATAAAAAACCGCTTACAAGAGGTTGTAGATCTCGTTTCGCCAGATATGTTAATAACTTAAATTTGCTAAAAATGTCAATTTTCGTTACTTGTGATAAGGAAACTCAATAATTTTACAGTTTTTAAGGCACTTCAATAATTTTACAAGTTAAAAATTAAGTGTTATCTTTTTCTCTTCCAATTGTTTACTATAAATGGATAGCGTTATTTATGAACAAACATATTCTCACATTCAATTCAATTTTCATAACAACATTGACACTTTGATTTAGTACCTATCTACCCATACAATGTAAACTTAAAAAAATATCTTTTGAGTTTGATAAATCATCAAATTTTCATTCGTATTTTGTAACTACTTGTGTAATGACAAAGTTGTACATTATTTTTGGGGTATTTCAGTTTGAATTCGTTTAAGTTATTTGTTATGTGACAATCAGTTAGTCATTTTCATTCGTTTTATATCCCAAACTCGGATTTTCAAAGCTCCGTGATTCATAGCTTCACTATGCGACATTCCATAAGTTAACACCGGCTCTATCAACGTGAAGTAAAAGCAACGATTTAGTACTAGACACGTATATAGTGATGGAAAAGTATGCCGTGGGTTTTCCGCGTATAGTGTACTTTTAATGAGAACTAGTATTTAGATAAATGATATTAGTAAGTTAATAATAAAACTGGTATTACTGTTAGTTTTTTATTGGGATTTGTTTTTTGTTGAAAAAGTTTTTAAATTACGTATTTTCATAATATCTATAGTACTTACTCAGGGGAGATAAATCTGTAATTACATCCATTTTTCAATTTTCACAAAATCAATACGAAATGTTTTAGTTTTCACTTTAAATGGGTGCTTTAGTCTGTCACCCATTTCTTTGGCACTCTATTTTGTGTTACTATCACAAGAACATGTTTCGAAACACATAATCAAAAACTATTCACTGCAATAGGCTGTATCAGTGTCACCGATCGCGCATTTTTGTGTGTTTGTATTTGATGATATGATACAATCGGTTGAACTATCACACTGGTTTTGTTCACCCGTCCAGAGCAGGTCTCCAATGACAATTGCACTTTTATCACACACTTCAAGCACTCAAACTGAGTTGTTACACACTGTACGGAAGAATCATCTTATAATCAACGCGATTCCACTATTATTGTACTTTGTATAATACGATAAAAGCACTGATTTGCCGTCTTGAACACACACGACACAAAAACACTTGCTGAGACGTCACTGAACTAAACCTGTTTTGTTTTTTTACTGTCCAACAAGTTGTTCTCGCACCACGTGATCGACTAAATGCATGTAGTACATGAGCTTATCGGTAGATGGCGATGCATGCGCTCCGTTAAAAATCAGCGGGAAAATGTAATTAAATTCCATCTCCGCTAGATTATTTTTCAGGTGAAACTAACCGTGAAAATTTTATTACTGCCATTGAGGTTCCTTTGAAATGAATTTGTTTTATGTTGATTGGAATAGACGGTTGTAAAACAAAGAACTTTGCCTGACTTGCAAGGTTTTTTATGTGAAAAATATTGTTTAACCATTGTTTATCCAACAGTGAGACGAATGAAAATTTGATTACCTACCTACTGTTATTTGCAATAGTATTTCATTGTCAAAAAAATAAAACCCTCATGAATTAATAAAAGAAAAAAGTGATTTTTACTCACCTGTTATTTTCAAACTGTTATACCCTTAATTTTCCATCCCTAATCCATTATTTTTCAAGGTCAAATGTCATTGTTTAGAAAAGGTCATAGACATTTTTTGTGATTTTTTTCTAGTTGCTATAGCAACGGTAACTGTCAAACATAGCTCTGAAAGTTTCAAACCGTTCTTTGGTGAGTTTTTTATTTAAAAAAATCATATTTTATGTAAATTGGTGTGAAATTACAAAGTAGAGGTCAACGTTATTATATGATAGACACATTGTGTGTGGGACGTACGTAATTTTTAGTGGTTTTATAACTTTAATTTACTGCAAAAATAATGAAAAGGTGTTACATAGAATAATAAAGTTATACCTCTTTCTATAAAAAAAAAAACCTCAAAAGTTAGTGGAATTACATCTATGTGACAAGTTTTATGGAAATCGGTTAACGGAGAGGGGGTGAAATCCAATAAACCGGATTCATCCCCTAATTTGCCACCCGCAGAGGGGATATTTTCTTCGAATTTGTATGAGACCAATATTATAATTGAGACACTTCCCTTTCCAACAAAATAAATAAATAAAATCGGTTCACAAATTTTGTAGTAATCGCCTAACATACAAACAAAAAAAATACAATCGAAATGGGGTTCCTTCTTTGTTAAAGTCTGTTAAAAGTAATGCAGTCGTAAAACTTTACTGTAGCAGTAGAAGTAATGCCACTGTACCTATTTCTGCTGCCAAGCAGTAATACCAGCATTACTTTGTTCCAGTTTTATAGGGTAAGGGTGCTGGTTAAATCATAGGCACATAGGACTTGTAAACTTAGGGTGACAGGCGCAGTGGAAGGGCCTCTACGATCTTTGCGGTTTAAATCTCTGAGTGGCATTGCAACTTTTAAGGACAGGCATGTAGCTTACCATTATGCAGCAGCATTGGGTAAGGTATTGCAGGGTTTCATCTGCTTCATGGCAGAATCTGTTTGCTCACTGCGTAAGATTTGACATGTGCTTATTCAAGCCACAGTGCCTCGTTAAGGCTCTAGTCTGTATTCTAATGCCATTACTGCTCAGTGCTAGAGCTCTACAGAGCTTATCGTTGTAGGTGGTTATTAGATCTTTTGAGTGTTCAAAATTTTCAACTTAGATGCTAAATAAGGCTGCTTTTGAGTCCTACGCTACTTTTCCCAGGTCCTGATAAGAATCCAAGATGCCAGAGCTTATAGAGCAGATGTACTGCTCTCAGCAGATTGTTATACCTCCAAAGTTTCCTTATATACTCAAGAGGTATTGCAAAGGTAAGATTGCATCATCTCAATTAAAATATTATTTTATATGTATTTATTTGTAAAACAATTCATTTTTACAATCTAAAAATGTTAATAATACAAATAAAAATAAAAATTCGAACTTTGGTGGTGGGAATCAATATTTGGTGGTAGAATGTTTCAGGCCTTTTCAATATAGATTTAAAAAAGGTCTCAGAATATTTCACCTATAGAATTACTTTTACAAAAAAAATGTACATGACAAACTGTTAAAAAAGTCTTTAAATACTGGTATGAATAATTGAAAATATGGCTGATTAATATTTAACTGGGCTGACTATCTGTTACATGTGCCGAGAAAATTGTCACAAATTGGTGTCCACTAAAAGAGTATTATAGCTCTTGATAGAGCTCACTGGAAAGATTTTAGGATGCCTGCCTTTGTCAGAAGGCACACTGAATTAAGAGATGCTATAGAAGATTGATAAGACAATTATAACTCTGCTAAACGGGCTTTGTAAATGAATATTTAATTGCGTTTTTTTATTGCTATTGATAGGACGAAACATTAGACGAAGAGGGAAAGGTCTATAAAGGTCTATCTAAAGGTTTATAAATATTTCGGTTGAGTTATAAATTCGCTAATAAAAATAATTAGCTTATTTTCTTTACCTTCATTTCATTATAAAAAACACTCAGTGGTATGGGTTTAGAGCTTGATATTAATTTTATTATTATAAGTAAAAGAACCACTTGTAAGAGAGTATTATGCAATCAAATGAAACTTTGCTATTATAAAATTCAAAGGCATTAACAACTTGAAACGAAGATGTGAAAGAAAGATGCCTTTATTAAAAATTGTGGTTCAAACCGCAATATTATTACTATTGTGGCGAGGTCATTGTGTAGAGAATGATTCAAAATTTCAAAAGTAAGTGGCCAGGAGCCAGAAAAGAGGGTTATAAAAACTGAGATGACGATAAAGAGAGAGATCCTGCGTGATTAGCCTTTACACGGACGCTCTTTCCGTTGTAAGAAAAACGAACACGAGCAATCGCGCGCGAATAAACGTTAGCTTAAAAAGCTTCAAATACATTATCCCGTACGATTGCGCGTGCAGGCTGTCCCGCGCGCAATCCTGTATGCCTGTCTCGAGTATCTGAAAGTGCGTTTCAGCTTTCTCTGGTCTTAGGACAAACCCTGTCGCAGGTCCCAACTTTTCCTTCTTACAATTCCGGTTTTTATTCACACTCCTTCATCGTTCATGCGGTCAGACTTTGGAACGCACTTACATCTATTAACGAAAGCACATCATTATTTATCTACTGTTCCATCCATCTTATATATATTATCTTATATTATATTATGAAATATGTATTATGTAAGTATTTATCTAGTTTATAATGATATTAATATTGTGTTACATAATTTTGTGCACGTAAGCCTGTTATGGTAGTTGTCCTGTATTTAGTTTTGATGGAAGAAATTTCTTATACACGGGAAAAACAGATTACTTAGAAAAAGATAAATTTCTTTTTATGAAGACAAATTTATTAAATCCAACAAAACGATCCTCTCCCTATAGACGCTAGAGAATAATTACTTGATGAATTAATTGTAAAAAAACGTCTGAAAAGTGTATTTTAGTTATATGACAGAAATATTTAATCCAAGAGCAAATTAATTTACTACAAGTCACAAAGCCACTCTAGATTCAACAAAATATTTATTAGTTATTAGAAATGTCTGATTTTCACATGAAAGAAAAGAATGAAAAATTGAGAGGTACTTAATTATTTGACTGAAGATTTATGTTTTCTTATATTGAAAAGGGTAAATTATATTATAATAAAGGGTAAATATAGGGTTACGGACCCAACAGTACGTCTCACTGGCGTGAAAGCACACAGTTCAGGGTCAAACCCTTAAAGTAGCAAAAATAGGACGGAAGCTTCTCAAATACTTGAGTATCGTTCAGTGCCCTATAAATGCTACAGCGGCAGAAAGCACTAACAATTCAAAATATATGAGATGACTTATACTATTGAAGTTAACAAAACGATGGCGCATTTCAGAGTACAACTAATGCCATCTAGCAGTGGCGTGTTGGAACTAATTGCATGTTAAAGTTGTGCTTGTTACAAGTGTAGTTTGATTTCATGCTGAAAGCAAATTTCTTAAATTATGACTACAAATAACACCCTAACAAACTAGAGATACTACGTATTGTTTCTTTGGATAAATGACTGTTTATGATTTTTATGATTACAAGCACAAGTAAAAGTAATCGTTACCGCGTGCGCCTTCGGCGACATGTCACGACGACATTGACTATGAAAACGCAATGAAATGTTGCTTTAAAAATATACTCTAGAATTTAGAATATTAATCTGAATAGCAAACTACTTCTGTTTTTGTTTAAGAATATATTTTCTTAAAATACACCCAAGAAATTTTGAATTCATTTAAGATTATTTAAATTTGAATAATATTAAATAATAATAATAGAGTGACTGTGTAGAGGGAACTATTCACCTTTTTGCAAAATTGTATTATACTAGCTTTAGTACAACTGCTCTGGTATTCCAGCGGCAATAAAAACTCAACCCTATGACCTACTTCGATGGTCGTTCGAGTACTTCAAGGCTCTCTCCCTACGGCGTCCGCCGCCGGTTAAGCTGCGACTCGAGTACCCTGTATACAGCACTGAAGGTGGACTCACCAGGGGTTGTTTGAAAGTATTGTGCAATCAGGTGAGTTTGTTAACGCTAGCATGTTGCTTTTGGACTCTGACGTGGTGGTGCCAGTATTTAATTGTTAAGTTGCAGATGAATTAGCGAAAAAAGTCGTACGTAGCTCAGTTGGGAGAGCACTGCATTCGATACGTATTCGTCCCGAATCCGAGCGTATATAAATCTAGAAAACCCAGACCCACTTCGTATGTCGCTTGTTCACTAAGGCCGGGTAGTCTCGAAGTCAGATGGGTTTCTGAGCGTGAAAATGAAGCGCGATTCCTACTATATCTTTCTCATCTGTGAGTTAAATCCACTATTGTTCCGATTAGAACTGTCAAAAGTTTCCAATCGGCCAGTTGTGAATCGCAATTATGTGCCTCGACTCGGAAAAGACGCAGTTTCCACTCGGGAGCGGAACCAAAATCAATCTGCTGAAAGCGCTTCAAATCCTGCCGGATCAAAGGATATTTTCTCAATGTAAAATCACCGTGATATTCAATTATCTGTAGTTTGTGTTGTACTATCTGAGACTTTTTACAGACGTATTTGTTAGTTCGACCCCTCCTACGTAAAGTATCGTATGTCGAAATTGCCAAGTTTACAAGGGAGCGTTTTAAAGTTCTGAATTCACTGAATGAGTGATCACCATAGATCATATCACCGATACCTAGGATTTTATAATACTCTATGTGAGTAATAAGCTTTGCCGAATAAAACGTCGCATTAAAAAAGTCACGTGTTATGTTCATTTCAGTGAATTCAGAACTTTAAAACGCTTCCCTGTAAACTTGGCAATTTCGACATACGATACTTTACGTCGGAGGGATCGAGTTATGTAGTAAGTTCAAACGTGCGAGCGTCCTCCCAACAACGACCTTATGCTCCATCGGACTGGTGTTTAAGCTAGCTCTTTTTTTATTATCACCGTTTAGATCAAACAACTTGCATATTTTTATACCAAAGTAACACCTGGTGAATTATTTAAAGACGTGGAACACTACTTATTCTTTATGATGTCAGTAATATAGTCCTGTGAGATTGATAGTATTTTTTAAATATCCCTGTGTAAACGAATACTAGTGAAGGTGTGCTTAACACGGTTTAGTAAAGGCGATTCAAACGCGATGCAGCGAGTCTTTCTAATCACACTAGTATTGCTAGACTTTTGCGAAGTTAATTCGCCAATTTATGTGTGTTTAGTAGCCGATATATTCTATAATTCTACTTGCTGCCGGAGGTTAGGGAATATGAACCCTCTTATTTCCCCAATTCCCCACACGTAGAACTACTCAAACCCCCGAATGAGTTGTGTTACAACTCCATTCCGCACAAATCTCCAATCAAGTTTGTAATTCCCCGGACATTTTGTTATGTAGCCTAAAATCGCCTTTTCCTATTTCAAACATTGCCTAAATATCGACGAGTCGCCGATCACTTTTTGTCGCCGCACGACTCTTCGAAGTAGCCTAAATTGCGAAAAAAATCGCCTAATCTGGCACCACTGATGCACACGTTCACAAATTCAGTGGCGCCGTAAACGCGCGTCGTCTCTGAGTTTATATCGCGTTCTACGCGCCTTTGATCTATACAAACGCAACAATCTGCTTTTTGATCCTTTACGGCGCCAAATGGCTTGTCTATTCATTTTACTTTGCAAAGAAATATTTTTTTATTGTCATTTGTTGTTATGTGAAGTGATAATAAACAACAATCTGCTTTTTGAGCCTCTACGGCACCAAATGGCTTGTTTTTTATTATCACTTCACATAACAACAATTGACAAATTTGATAGGCACTTTTTTCAATCAACTTGCTATTGAATATCGTCAGAAGAATCTTATTGAAATTATCTCGTGTGCAGCGCGACATAACTGTTACGTAAACTGTCACTCCCCCCGCGCCACGGAGCTACCTCAGGAAGCGACTCAGTTAAGCGGTAGACCTGTAACTACTTCTGCTGGTGCTCTTAGATAACTATGATAAGAAACGTCTTAAGCAAAAAATAGTTATTTGTTATGCAAGGCCAGAGAACAAATAAGTTGTGTGAGCGAGTTCTTGTCTCGAAACCTGAGCAAGAGAAGGAAGCTAACATTGAAAATAGATTGTAGGGCGAGGGTTTCAACGCTCGAGACGCAAAACGACTTTGCTGCCGAGCGAAACACACTTAAGTGCACCACAATACCTACCTAACCTTTTCCTCACTACCGTGAAAAAAAAACGCTTTTGCGCGCAGATTTCTAATTAAAGACAAAGCCTTTCCGAGCTAGTGAGGTGAAAAATTATTATTATCACAGTGCCTGAAAGTAAATTCCATTGCTCTGGTATTCATTGTACATGAAATTCTCTAGTTTGAGACCAAGTTATTGGTGTTTGTTTGGTACATTGTTATTATGGAACTTACTTTTGCAGTTGTCAAGTTTGATCGAGGTGCCTATACATGCGGTCAAGACAGCGTGGCAAGGGTTTTGCCTTGATCCAGCTGAATTAAGACGCATTCTGTGCATATGTCAAGTTTATCAGAGAGAAGAATACATTCCTTTCTTGCATTTCATCGCTGTTGCTGGTGGGCTTCTCACTAAGGTATCTAATTTAATTTCAAACACAATTATTTTTTAATTTTTTTTTTATATCAAATGACGGGACGAGCAAGTTGTGCGCCTGATGATAAGCTACACGCCTGTCCATAACAGTTGCAGTGCCACTCAGGGCTTTAAATCGCAAAGATCTGAGGAGCACTGCCACTGCGCCCGTCACCCTG